TCAATAAAATTCTCTACAAAAACAATCGTCGTAATCGGTGAAAAATATTTACTTTTAATCGCCGAAAGTTTTACAATGTCGAATAATAATAAAAGTATTGAATGCAAAGAAAAATCTTCCATTATAGTTAGAACTAAAAANAATTTTACAATGTCGAATAATAATAAAAGTATCGAAAGCAAAGAAAAATCTTCCATTATCGTTAGAACTAAAAATAATTAATTTTTCCCGAACAGAAAGAAAACTAATATTGTTCGACGGATAATTTGTTTATATTTTCATTAAAAAAAAAAAAATGATATTCTCACTTCAAAGGAATAATTTACCATTTTTACTGTTTTGTTGTTGTACAGAGTACTGCGGATCGAGGAAAGCCAATGGGAAAAAACAAAGAGACCGGAAAATACGCCGGAGGGAGGGCTTATACGATTGGCGGTTTCAGGGAAGGGCTGCTATTGGTTACGGCCCAGTAACAATACATTTTCATGCACACTCACACAGGTGCGAACAATGGCGATACTCTTGTTTGCCGTGCGTACTATTGTGTTCATCACCTGATGCAGTAATGATACAACAGCAATAATAAAAAAAACGTTACCCATTGTTCCCACCCGTAAACAACACAGCACACGCCTACAAGCAGTCGGTTTACTCGTTTTTGAGCTCGCACATAACACGACTGCGGAGAGCAATAATCTGTCGACTTTTACGTTTGTTGTAAACCCTAAAGTTTCATAGATATTCCAGTAAAATTTTTTGTTCCGAGATGTCGCTCGTATGAGCTAACGTCGTCACACACTTGTGACAAATGTATTGTCATTTCTTTTTGTTGCTTCGGTCTATCAATGAAAAACGCATGTGTTACTGTTGGATCCAAGGTCAAACGTACAAAGAGCCAGTGCTGGCGAGTATAACGTGCACCACAAGGTGCGCACCTAGTCCGTGACGGCGAGCATGAGAAAAAAACCATTCACCCCGAACGTTAATAGAGGGGTGCCTATGTATTAATCATCGGAATATACATTATTTTTCTGCCGGCATGAGATTTAACGACAGCAACAAACAAGCGCACATTGTTCGGTTAAAACAAATGCCGGAGACGCGGATAACGTGGTGTAGTATTCGCGACGACTGAGAAAATAATAGGCCGGAGACTGTTTCCAGATGTCTGCGAGCGCACATGGCGGTATTTGAAAACGCACTATTGTGAATGTCAATAGCGTTAAACATTCGACAGTGTAAAACAACAGTGGACGACGATAGTGTGACCTATATCTTGTCATGCCAAGTCAACCAGATTCGGAAAAACGGAAAATAATCAACGGGCGCTTAATTTGCGGGTGAATTCCACACGGGTATCGAAAACGGTCGGCGGTATGTAATGATTGTACGCCGGAAACAAACATTGGGTCAGCAACCGAACGGTAAAAATCGATATTGGCGAAACTGTTCAGGCGCAAACACTGACCGAGTGCAAGAACGTCTGGCGGTGAAATATGTTGAGTAAAAAATGACGTAACGTCACCTGACAAAAGATATCTCCAACTGTCTACTTATCGTACGGCAACGTCAGCATTGCCGTACAAGAAGCACTGAGCGTGAGTCGCTTACAAAGCCGAGCCACGACAGTCCGGCAATGAGACAATACCGGCATTGTGTGTGCCCATAATGGCGACGTCGTTTGTATTATTATTATCATCATCGTCGTTATTATAATAGACAAGTAGGTCGTGGTCAACAAAAAAATATATATAATAATAAAGTCGCTGTGTAATATTATATGTATTTCTTAAGCTTTAAAATATACATTATGCGCTGTGTGTGTGTATTATTAAATAAACAAAGGAATAAACCTGCCGGAATAATAAATAATAAACCTCGGAACAAACACGGTATTATGATAAATGATTTCTCCTTTTTTTTTCCGTATTTTATTATTCTTCCATTATTCGTTTGCGGCGAGCTGGGGAGTCGCGCATTGCTTACAATAGCGGCCATTTTATTCTAGTCGGATACAATAATTGAAAATTATCACTCGGGCGAATGTCATGTCTCGCTTTGGTACTAGTCGCGTGTTATACTTGAAAGGGTTGTAAGTCGAGACTGACTGGATACAAATATCTAAAAGAAACTATGAATATTACGTTGCTATGAAGTTGACGGTGAAAATCGATTTTTTTTTATTTGGACTAAGGAAAAAATATCCTTTGACAAAAAAGATAATCAACGGGACACTGTAATTATACTTTTGTTGATTTTGTAGAGTACGTTGTCATAATAATCACTTTAATTACATTCAATTATTTTTTTTTATACGAGTAATGAGTTTAAAAATCAAAACTTTTATACCATTAAATTCAATATTGTGCCGTATTTGTGGAGGTTTTTTAATTTTACATAGCACGGGGAAATATTTTATGACTAAATTAATCGTTTAAAATGAGTTAACGCGTTCACAAAAAATAATTAAGAAATTCTTTAGTTGGTCGCCCTTAAGCTAATCGCAAAATATAAATATATACGAGTACTGGGCGCGTATGAGACCGTCTTATGAACGTCTAATGACTGCGGACCGCTCAAACAGGAACTCGATGGTCTCTTCCGGCGATGACTTTGGCAAGCCTCCGGGCAGGCGTACATAAGGCGGCATTACTGATCTAATTTAAAGTGTAAACTCTCACGAACTCGTCGTCCGTCGTAATAATAGTAATAAAAATCATTTTAATACGATATGCAACTGGGCCAAATAAACGGATTGTAATGGCGACGTTGAGGTGTATTATTAACAAATTTATTTTACGATAAAATACGCTTTAATACGACAAGATGCTGACACAAGAGTCGCAGAAAGCGGCGGCGGCAATGCAATCCTCTTGAAATACATAGCAACTCCGGATAATATTATACATCATCGACCGACCATACTTTTAATTTGGGATCAGACCAAAGTTCTTTTTCCGCGAGCAATATTGAGCGATAAAAAATTTATGATTAGCAAATATTGTGCTTCGTTTAATTGAAATTTACTATCGAAAAGATTAGTCCCTATTGTTAATAATTGTAATGTATAACACATTTACATATTAATGGCAATAAAGGTTGTGACCTAGCAAGTGGAAATTGATTAGGTATTTAAATTTATTTTTAAGTTAACAATTTGTTCAAAAACTATCTAATTTGTCATAGGCGAAAAAAAATCGGTTTATGAAACTAATAAAAGTAGTCCGCTGCAATGTTTTAATCAGTTTGCATTTTTTTCAGTCGTGAGACTATAGCAAAGAGTTACAGGACATGTTATAGCGTTTAACGCACTCGAGCCGCGAACGCGAAACAATTAAATACCGATTCATTATAATGCACACTCTATGGATGTATTAAACAATTTATAACATCCCACCCCGCCCCCGCATACTCTTCGGATCCAATAATTCCACTAATACACATATATGCGCACAGTGTAAACGCATCAAACATCCCCGGGGGGGAGCTTATTTATGTCAATCCTGCAATAACCCAAAACATCAAACATGCATTTATGCATAATTAATGTGCCGACCACTTTGGACGAACCGGAGGGATAGAGTTGCGAAAAGCTAACCCTCCTGAAGGCGAATCGGCGTGACGAGGACAACACAAACACATAATACGCCGTTGTCATAGGAGGCCATCGGTCATACACATAAATCAAATTTTCCACGGTGAACAAGATGCCAGGTCAGAATATCACCCCTAATTGTATACTTTTTTTTTTTAATAATACTCAGCGGTACGGTTGTTGAATACAACTGATGCAGAAATGAATTTAAGACGAGCACCATTTGTGTCACAATAACGTAAATTAATTAAATTTGTGAATATAAGCAAGAAGAAAATGTATAAAAATGTATGAATAACGACGACAAAAGCACAAACATTTGGCCTTTTTTTTTCTGGTTATTCACGAGGGGGCAATGCGTACTTTTTTCTCCTTGGTGGTCTCTAAAATAATGGAATGATAACGTTAAGGAATTAATGTCCGACAGACAAGATCTGTAAAGAGAACGTGGTCGATAGAGGGGAGAATAGAAGTCTTTTGAAAAGCAGTTAGTTTAAGTCCGAGAAAAACCCGAGTTCATAATAAAAGGACGACCGCTAGGTAACGGAACGATGTTATACACCTTAGCCGCTCACTGTCACTAATGAAACGTACAAAACAGTATTATCAAAACGCACAGAAATATATAGAATTACGCGCTTAAAAAAAAAAAAGTCATAATAAAAATATTATCATGTTATTTCCAGACGACGGAGGGTCCATTTTGCAGACAGAACGGTCTTTTTGAAGTGCTTTTTTTAATATATCATCGAGACTGAGAATTCACAAATTGCATGGAATTAATGCCGCGTTGGCTTTCTATTCTTCGATAACTGTTTTCAATATTCGCACAAAAATAATAAACTGCGAAGTTAACGAACCATAAAACGATTTTTTTTTTTTTTTAAGAGTATTTATCTGTAGCTATGAAAATACCGTGTCACTAAGCAAGCATCGTTGATATATAACTATTTATAGGAACTTTTTAATATGAATATATTCATCTGAAAAAATTGAAGAAAAAAAAACATTATAGCTTAACGTATTATCACAGAAAAACAACGTCGGTAGTTATTGTGTGAACATTGTCGGGTCGACTTCACTGAACAACAAAACGATGATGAGGAGGACCGTTTACACGGTGTATCGTATGACTATTGTTATGATAAAAATTATAATTGACTAATAAAGATAATTATTGCATACTAGACAGTATAAACATAAGACAATCGCGTGACATCCGCCGTCGCACTGATAGGTATATTTTTATTGTGCTAACCATTCAATAGCCATAAATATGTTTTAATTTTATATTATTTCTATTGTTACTTGCAAATCGACATTAACACATAAATACGTCTACAATATTGTTTATCCGTGTAAACAGTATGCACTTTCATACGATATTTACATTTGTTAAAAGAACCTTAATAAAAAAGCTTTGTGTTTACCTTGTTCGGATGATCCTGTTGCGTGAGGAGCTGCTCTCTGAACAGTTGCAACTGCAGAATCATTTCAGACAGTTTTCGTTCCTTTTCCACGATGGTAGAAGTGTCACCTTGTAGATGCTGCAGGAGATCCAGTCCGGGCTGACCGGCGACGTCTTCTCCGTGGTCGGGATCGGATTTACTGCAAGAAAAACGGAATACATTGAACAAACAGTACTTGAAAAACATCCCAACAATACGGTAATAAACAGTAAGTCAATATCAATAGAGAATTATCTACAAAAACAATCAATAGCGATTTATATAGTTAAAGTAAACCCGAAATAAAGGGAGTACTCGTATATATTTACTAGGTTAATCCCTCTGCACGTCCACGTATCGACCATAAGACGACGTGGACCCCGCGTATGTGTTTGTATAGTGTTTTATTATTTATTCACAAGACCCTTGGGGAAGTAAGCGGCGACTACCGCCGACCGTACATATGCAATTACCCTTTTTGATGCTGCCAGCGGTAGAACTCCTCTGTATAACGATATCGCATCGGTTTCGCTCGCTACCGCCCGGGCCGCGACCCGCACTTTTGCCCACTGTGTCCTGTACACTTTCTCCCCACACGGTGTTTTGTTTGCTGGAAATTTGTCTCTTGTTCGGCATTTTTTTTACGGGCACCGTACACCGTATATGTTATGTTCGTGGCGCGGGAGAGACGATGCCTTCAGTCCGAGAGTCCCATAGAGAGTTTTACCGTCAACGCTTTTTATGATGTCGTATGTGTACAATGTCGTTATGTCGCCGGACGCCGCCGCCGTATCGTACATTGTAAACTTTATACGAATAAAGGAACGGTTAAAAAACAGAATGATAAAAACAAAAGGAGAAGCGACCAGGTCCCCGCGGACGTATTTCCGACGAGCATTACGGTCTACTTTGCATGTAACGCGTTTACGGAGATAAAAATAAAATAGACGACAACCGCTACATTTTATAATGTAAGTTTCGAACGACGCGATAAAAAACGTTCTATATGTGTTGAAAACAATAACTTTTATAATACCGAAATGTTGCGTTGGTCTCGTATTCATTAAAAAAAATTGTAAAATGAAACAACAATAACGTGCTATCCGCAAGCACATGTGTCCCGTCGTCGCACAATAGTGATGACATGTTTATTTGACGACTTGTACTTGGAAAAATACCTTTTATTTTTATAGCGTAAAGTGATTTATTAAAGACGACCAAAGAGAATATTATGTTTATAAAAAAACGAGTGTTTATAAGACAAGGCGAAAAACGATCAATCAGTTGGGAAAAAATTCAGTCAACTTTCACGCGAACCGGTCGCGAAAACATATTGGGCGATCCGAAAAACGGCATTGCTCAGTTGGGATGCATAAAAGAGATAAATGGTCTGTAGCCGTCGCTTGCACACACGTTCACATGTACAGATCATTATAATGGCTCGCTCGATAATAACACGATTTAACAATTTTTGTTTTATTATTATTGTAAAATATGATGTGCAGCGCTCGTTCGGTTTTAATTTATAACTCACTAGAGTTGTTCCACGACGGCAACACGTTCAGTTGTCGATATAATAACAATAATTATGCGGCAATTGTGTGTAAGTCTGGTGTGTGTGATTTAGTGGGAATATCGGCTGAGCACGTCGATGGTGCGGCTATTGTTGCAATACACGCCGGTTTTAATATTCTGTATTAACTTATCTTTCGAATTATATTATTATTAAGTATTATTATGACCTTGTTTGGATGCTCGGATCGTGCAAGAAACCGACACAACTAATATGTCTATGATAGTAATAATAATAATAATATTAATGCAATGAAATAATCCGGCGGGCGAAGGTGGCGGATGGAGTGTCTGTACGTTAAAATCCATCGAATAAACACAGTCAAAAGTCTACAAGTACAAAGTTGTAGTTGAACTAATTGGCAATCAACGAGATCTGCAAATGCTCGAAATCATTACTATACGCATCGTAGAGGTCTAATGTTTTCATTGTTACGAGCCCGTAAAAATATTCATATAATAATAGCAACGAGTGGCCGATAACGGCGAGAGATATATAAAAAGTGAAAAAATAATTAACCGACTTGTTTGTATTATTATTATTTGATTAATAATTCGCCTTTGCTGCTCACCACACAGAGTCATTGCGGTCATCGGCAAAAAACGGTACGCTCGTACATAATCAAATAACAAGAATATTAATTCAACAATAATAATAATAATAATACCTGAGCTTATCACACAACGCAGATTACGACCAGACGACTCCGAGCACTACAAAACCACTGCACAGTTCTAAAGCCGAGTGAATAATTACTACAGGCATCATTAAGTGAAAATAAATAAGCCATTAAAAATCCCGACTCTTATCGAAGTGCCGTTGGACGAAAGTACAAAACGTATTCAAATACAGACTACAATGTAATCGCACACAGTCCTTGTCCATTATACGGTTTTCAGAGCAGCAAACAGAATAATTGTAGTAATTGTTGTTCGAAATAACAATAACAATGCTATTATTGTATTTTCCTACAAAATATTCGTTTCTGTGTTAGAAATAACCGCATTTCGTTATGATTGTGCAGAGCTTAAGGTAAATCGGACACATGTCGGCGACTATGCAAATTCGGTCGATTCGCTCGAGTGCAGCAAACAAACGAAAGTATCGATGAAGATGATTTAACGCGCGTGAGTCTCTCGAATAGCACCTACCAGCACAGTTTGTTTGAATCGTGGGGACTTTTGTCTAAAAATATCGAACAATAAACAGACGATATGACTGTACTAACGTAACGAAAAAACAGATTCTTACCGTGACCGCGTGGGTGGGGTGGCAGAGAATGAGCCGAGAAAATCCCGTCCGTAGCAGCTACTCGTGTTGTGACTTGTGGTCAATAAAAAACAACACACAGCACGACCGTTGCTTTTATTGTGATTATTATTATGATCACCGTCCCAACGGTTTTTTTGGCTCTGGGCCACCGTTTTGCTGCTGTATCCTCCGGGCCGCGGTTTTAATTATAATCAACCCGTCCATTAGCTTTTTTCTCCCACACCTCTCCTACCCCTTTCTACGTCGGTCCGTAGTAATTACAACATTAATTTACGATACGGACAGATCACGCCGAAGCGTAAACCGTTGAAATTTATTACGCGCTCGAAAATTTGTATCAATTTGTAAGGCAGTTGAATTTTTTCGTGGGCACAACAGGGCCGATCTCGAGGAATTTCTTCGCGAGAACACGACTTGTTACAACAATGTACAGACAAAATTTATCTCAATGAAACGATGTGTATAAAAAATAACTATCATCTCGTCTATTCTTAACCTTCAAGTACAATCGGTTTAAAGTTCATGTGAACTTTGAGCGATGCCCTCGTTGAACTGAATTGTTGATTAAAATTTCAACCAATAATAGAAAGCTCTATTTAACGTAAAAAAACTTAAGTCTCGCAATAAGATATAACAAAATACCTAAGTAGTTAATGTCACTCGAGTTATTTTTAAATTAAATTACTTTTATAATATGCAAACAATAAATGTGTGTGTATACTACGAGTTATGGGAGTTCGAGATAGACTATTCGTTGGATAGTCAACCATCTAACAAATGCAATGACTAACAGTATTAACCGATTAAAAGTTTGTGAAAATTTTCAACGAGTAAACAATATAATAGTCACGTTTATTCTAACCATAGTAGAATTCTGATGTACTTGGGCTGTTGTGAAGATTTTTTGGACATAAGTGAAGTAGCTCATTTGAATAGTACTGCGCTGACAACAATGGCAAGTCTCATAAGCGCATTGTTGATATTAGAGTTTCTACGATTTATCGAATACGCCGAAAGTATAAAATACTTTCAATACACTTGCAACGACACTTGTCAAAACAATGTACAATTATAACTTATAAGTCACGAGTGTTGCTTATCTACAACAACTGTCGTATCATTCTACAACTAAAAGAAAAAAAAATCAAAACAAAAATATTTTTATTTAAAAAAATACCTGTGGTTGTTGGTCTTGGATGGAGAATTTGGACTTTGTTGTTCGTCTCGAATATGCATTTTGGAAGAGAGTTTTTTCAGTACATCGTCCATAGTCCTTTTGGCGGCAGGTCCAGCCAACGACATAACGTTGTTATTATTGTTGTTGTTTTGGTTGTGCATGAATGTGTTGTTGTTGAGATGCATCAAATGCGCCGCAGCCAATTTTTCGGCTACGGATTCGTCACCTTTTCGAAGCCGTTGCTCGATATCGAAATATGGTGATCCGGCACCACCGGCTGCTGTCTGGCTACCATCAAGCAAATGGAATGGAGGGGGCCCGTGTTGTCCAGCGGCCAAAAATGCTCGTTCGTATGCAACGGCTGCTGCAGCCGCTGTCTCGTAGAACGCGTTATGGTTAAGCGACAGGAATGACGCTAGATGTGACTGGGGTAATTGCTGCTGTGGTTGATGGGGTGGCGACGACCCGGCAGAACCTGCTTGCTGTCGGCCGCCGTACGAGTATGGTGATTTACCGTCTACCGCAGAGTTGCCGCAAGGGCTTTCGGTGCGTTGCCGTTTGTTGGATTGTGACCGAGGCGATGAAGAATTGATGGCGTACCGACCGTTGTTGCTGGTGTCGCTGCAGTCTGACGAGGGCGGCGAAGAAGTACCACTGCTGTGACCGATCGGCTGTGCTACAGAAGGTGGACTGCTGGCCACGACTGGGCTGCCACAATTTCTGTCTGTTACAGTCTCCATATCGTCGCAATGGTTCTCGGGATAATGCAGCTGCTCCGTCTTATTCGTTTCGGGATTTGTACTCTCAAGCAATTTGGATGGCGGCGACTTGCGTTTTGATGACATTACACTGCGAAAATATAAAACTATTAGAAAAACGTTTCAGAGTTTACACAATCAAATTGTTTTTTCAATTTGCAGCAATGTCAATTTCGAGTCATTGACAGAACCTTACAGCTTAAAAAATTTGGATTTCAATGGATCGTGCACGTCGTTGAATGCAAGTCTTTGTAGAATGAAAGGTTGCGCATTTTGCATTATAACGATCAGAGACTATTATTACAATTTTAAATGAATGAAAAACGAATATATGCGAAATGAAAAAAAAAGTACGTACTTAGGTAATACACGTTACACGGACAAATGCGATAAAAGCGCTTATTATTTATATACATATGTAACATAGAGCCACGGTATTGGTGTATAGGCACATTCACATATATTATTATGATTTTTATTATAACGGTACATTTTTTCATTGAGGTTATCGACGGAACCGAAAGAGCCAACTGCAGATAACATTTTAACAAAACACCAATTGAATGGAGATAAACGTTTAACATAATACATATGCTGAAACAACACCACCAGATTATCTCAATCATTGTTTTTTTTTTATTGGCATTTAGTTGCATATAAAAGAAAAACATGTGACCCTCACACCTTTTAATTTGTAAGTATTTTTTGTTTGTTTTGTCCTCGGCGTCGCGTAATTCCGTCAGTTTTTTTCTAGCGGTTTTAGTATTCATCGAGACCCCGATGCCCTGCTAATGTATAATTATCATCATCGTTGTTATTAGTTTTATTATTATGGACGTGATAATAAGCCACTTCGTACTCCGAACCGTATTGTTAGCACTACTAATTAATCTCGCATTGTTTCTCAGCGCCTAATTATATCATTCTGTGGTAATCACATTAACAAGACAACAAATACAATTGCGAATCAAAATTGTGTATCGCGTTGACTGTTCACCCGAAATAACCGTATTATCGATTCGGCATTTCTGCCCCAATGGATTGCCAAATACATTTATTTACTGAACCAGAAACACACAAGACAGGCGACCTAAGACGTTTGTGTAAACAAATCTCTAATCGAAGGTTGATTTTGTCTAAATAACCGATAGTTGAAATTGCATCGAGTAATTCGCGTTGCGTTTCTCTATAATGGTAAGGTAGTGTTTCCGAATGTCGACCGAAGAGAGTTGTAACGCAGTAATTATGACTCAAACGTACTGGACTAGACAAGCGTGTCTCTCGGGTGTTCGGTTTTGCCCAATTCGTCGACTTCCTGTGTGAAAAGCGGTTATTTCTCGCAAGGAAATAAACTTAATTTCCAATCATCTTTCACGAGAGTGTTTATAGGTGAGAAATGAAATTACATTGCTGGCGAGCAGCAATGGCGTAAGAGAATGCGTGTGGCCCACCGAGATAAACGTACGATTAGCGGCGATCTTCGAGCACATTGAGAGTAAAATACACACTGGAGTGTATACGTTTTTTAGCTAGTCAAGGTTTTACGATTTTCGTTTTTGATCGACTGAACTGGTATAAATCGATCGTCGCTATTGTTATATTTATACACACTCCATAGGTCAGCATCACATTGTTATTCTTAATTTTTCAAACTTATATATTGTGTTTATACGGTTCCGTTAGTGTACAAGTACGTCGCCCGTGCGTTTGTTTAAATTCACTAGTAAACAATTGGTTCCACGTGCGCTTAAAAGTAAAAAACGATAATAATACCACAAAACACTTTTTACATGACGATCATTTCAAAATTAACGTGTAAACTATCAATTTGTTGCGATTGCAAAGTAAAAGTGTACAGAAGATGTTATAGTAATAAATAATTTAGGCAAAGATCTGAGGAACTAGAGTACCTAATGACAGTGATTGACTGTGAACGCAACGTATGATTTTGTGAAAAAACAATATATAATTTAAATGGCGGCCATAGGAAGAGAAGTTCCGAAAATGTTTGAAGTAAACTCGTAGTGTAATCATTGTTTTTTGGAACGGTTAAGTAATAGCTACGGTAGATAATATGATGAAGTGTTTTGGGTAGGATCGAGAGTTCAAACGGTCTAAGGTCTTTAATTTTTACTGTACACAAATATTCCACACAATACTTCTAATCACGTTGAAAGCTGCCCTTTTTTGCAATACACAATATTTTCTTCTATTCTTCAACGACCGCTATTCTAAACAACGACCAGAAGTATAGCAACAAAGGGGAGTGGGTATATAATAGTTTTTGGATAACGCACGGGACTGCGTGGGCGTTTAAACAATACAATGAGAGGGCTGTCAGTGTGCGAAGTAAATGAGCCAAGTCTTACAGTAGACAAACAGATGACGGACAAAAAAAGAAATCCACGACAATCCATGACGGGCCGCCTAAGTTAATGTAGAGTACGCGAATCCGTATTACGACATGCATTTAATCAGACGTTGGAAATTCGGTATGCCAAGGACGAGCATTTGCGGATAAAAGATCATAAATGATCTACGCGCGCGTTACATCGGATATTTACGACGCGTTAGAAAAAAAAAACCTCTTGAAATAAGCAAAATTCGCGACAATATTTTTCACAAATAGCCATGTCGGCACTCAACACAATGATTGTACGGTAACGATGGTACTCACAGTGTGATCTCTAATATTTTATACAGTAATAATGTCATCGTAGCTGGGCGTGGGTTTGTTTCAACGGTCGTAAATTTCGCAGGCGCCCGTTGAATGATCGCGCGAACAACAACCGCAGGGATGGACCGGAACGCAAATTAATAATTATGTGCCGGGCCTTCCATCGTCGACGACACGTGATGGATTTCCATTTCCATTACTGCGAACATATTATAAAAAACAATAACACCACGGAAAAAAATACACGCCGAGACGCCAGTATTCTGTTCAACTGTGACATGTATTGTACGGTCATAAAGAATAACGGATGCTATTCTCATGTCTTTTGGCACGACTCGTTGGGTCCATGATATTGCATACACATTTGGTTTCAACAGTCATAAAAGAAATATTTTTAAGTTTATTCGAAAAAAATAGCGTTGTACGATGTAAAAAAAACCGTGACAATATTTATGCGAATATAGAGTTTCACACAAATTTGTAATAGACAAACTGATCAGTCAATCTTGCCCGTTGGAAGTGGTTGTTGACGCGTGTACAAGGGTCAGTGATAACAGTTGACGATTCCACAAGAGTGTTCGTTAAACTCCATCAAACAACAATTAATCGATAACGAACTCCCACTGCACCAACTGTTATCGTATGAAACACAAACACACAGCGATTTCCTCAGATTGAGACCTAAAGCTTTCAATGGGTCAAGTCACCATTGCACAGGTGGTATTTATTACAAATAAAATGAGACAATGTCACCATAATTCCGCACTTAGGTTGTAAACGATCGNTAAAATGAGACAATGTCACCATAATTCCACACTTCGGTTGTAAACGATCGGCAGGTCCGATCGTTTCAAGCCGTTTTCCGGAACTTTATTTTTGTCCGGTGCTCTTCAAAAGTCGCGTTTTCTTTGCTTTTATTGTCAATGACAAATGATCCGGTAAACGATCAAATGCTTGTGTACTTCTCTGTTATTATTATACACCCGTACAATAAATATACCCTCTTTGTCGCCCACGCTTCGCCGCCCTACCACTCAGCAATTGCCCGAAAAGACTTCTATCATTTCCCCTCCACAATTCTCAACGCCTAAATTCTCACTATGCCGAACAAAAAACCGATATGTCCTATATGTTCCCTCGAGTAGACAAGTGTATACGATTTCTATTATTTATACGGAGTTAATATATTGTATACTTTCTTGGCGGCACCAAAGGAAACAAAAAGGATGCCGAGATCCATTATTCATCATCGTCGGAAAAAAAACTCTACCGCGACATTTCTCAAAAAGAACAACTACGTTGCTGTGTGGTTTCAGACATCAGTTTCAAAAAGGAAATAAAAACACTAAATCGTATTGAACCAGAAGCTCTCGCCACTGACGGCGGAGTGTAAACACAAAGTCGATAAGACAGATACAATTACACGGTGACACGAAGTAATCGTCGATCGAGGGGAGAGTAAGTTAATCTTCGAAAGAATAAACATTTCACAAAGGGAAAACTATATATTCATTGTGATCGAGGAGAAATTGTTTCAAACAAAAATCAAAGAAAACAAGAATTATAAAAACTATTTAAAATTATAAATAGTTAAAAAATCATTAAATAAATAAATAATTTTCATTTATTTATTTTTTAAACAAAAATTGCACAATTTTATAAATTAATATATTCAATATGCGGTAACTTTAATTAATCGTTGATCGTAGTGATAAGAGATCAGAAACGTTGTCGATAGTTAAATTATTTAATTACTAAAACTATACTACTGAAAGCAGCAGATTTCATTTAATTATAGTATACAATTAATTAGTAACTAACAGAAGGAAAAATAACTCAAGTTGGACACTTTCTCTGGCATTATTATAACATAACAGTTGGTAATTCTAGTAAAACAAGTCTATTATAATGTCGAGAATTGCACAATATAAAATTAGGTTTATTTATGGATTTGTTTTTATGAGTTAACATTAATAATTTGTGTGCTAATTAGTGAACAGTGAAATGGATTTTCGCAATAATCACTACATCGTCAAATTTGTATTCCATTACAATAAGAGATACAACGTTAATTTTTAATATTAAAAAGATAATTCTATAAATAACACTGTCGGTATCGTATTTAATGAAATGAGTCTTTTCAGAATGACAAACTGGATAGACCATATGTGAGATAATGAAGTAAATTCAGAGATTATAACAACCGATTGCCCTTGCCGCTAAATCCAAACGATCCGTTACGACCGCGTGATGATCTCTAACCTTTTCTCAGTGCCTGTGTCAATGGAGCTCATGCGAAATTCTAAGTCTTTTATTATTTTGGCATTTTGAAAAATGTACTTTTTTTTCATAAATAGCCAAAGATAAAGTAAAATAATTTGAAATAAGCACAAACGAAATTTTTAAATGGTTAA